AAGGCTAAGCAACTGTTCCTTGCAAATCCGATCGGCGAAAGGCCCAGGGGACGGCCAAGATTAACCTGGTGAAAACATACGGAAGGAGTCCGTTCCAGACTGTATTTGTCTTTTGCCGAAGCTCAGACTCCGGCGCAGGATCGGGGACGTTGGAAGCACTGTCTGACGCGTCTGCCTCCGCGACCCGAAAGGAGAAGCGGAGATGGGAGATGAAGATGACTATCTCATGCTACCGTATCTCTATATAAATTGAACGCTTGCAGGTGAGAACGGCTGGTAACATTCGCCGAAACCTCGGTTCTGCACAAAAACCGCTGGCGCTGCATGTAATTTCGTATGAAGTACCGTCTTACTCAAAAATCACAGATAGTTCTTTGAGATAAAGTACATGAAGAGTGTACAAGAGGATAGACAAAGAAACAGCAGTAACATTTAACGTGATGTGCTAAATTACGTATGAGGTATGCGTGGTGAAAGCATCGGTGTAAAATCATGTTATTTAGAAGCCATTGACCTTAAAGATGTCATCGACTTTCTCGTGGCTAAAGATGAATGTAAGCCAGTGATCGAAAAAGGCAATTACAGCATCTAGAAGCTAAAGGTTAGGTCTGCGATTACTAATTACGGCAGAAATGCTATTTTAGCAAGCGACATCCCCAGTACAGCTATGGTACTTATTTCTTACCGGCTCGACATAAACAACTCTGCTGGTGAAACTGAACATTCATTAGCCTAAGATACTGATAACAATAACAATCGATTTCTGCAGCCATTAAATAGCTTTATAATACTCGGCTAAAAGATTATAGCGGCTACCTTACGGATACATGTACAAAACATGTTCATAAAAGCCTTGTCTACAGTCAGAAGTAAATCACAGTAATTACTCAAAGCACTATGTTTATGGACGAAGCAGTTATGTAAAGTAAACGAACAAGAGAGGAAAGTATGCAATGGCAGATGCACTGTTCATTCTACGATCCAGTACCCGGTGCAAATTACAAATCCATTGAAAAGTAAACATAGCAGATAATGCAAAAAATTCAAGATGCCGTTTATGAAACCGCTTTAAAGCTCATTATAGGAAAAAACGACACAACCTCGAATTTTGACGGTGATGACTGTCAAAAATAGACACACTGGCTTCACATAACGTACGACTCTGAAAACATTAGATAAAAAAAGTGGATAACAAAAGTTTTACACTAATTGTTCGCAAAAAGAGAGCTAGAAAATCACATGCGATCAATGCATCGATTCTGAATATGACCTTCACGACGAATTCGTCAAATAAGAAGAACGAAACCAGCCCAAAATATGGATCTAATATCAAATCTCCAGAATCCCAACAGAAAATTGTACAAGAAAACAAATGTCCGTACAGCAAACCTTACTAAAAACTGAACTGAAGAAACGTAAAACACGCCGCTAGCTCTCTACTCTGGCAATTTAATCGCTGAAACTTAATATGACAGCCGTGCGCTCGAATCTGATTTCACATTGCATACTGTATATAACTCGCCAGTTCAGTAATCAAGTAATATATCCCAATGTGTAGTTTTGACAATTTACTCTTTTATTACCACTTTACCCATTTTTTACAAAGAAAGATTATGCGCGAAAGTCAATTCTAATACCGTCCAGTCAGAACCAGTGACATATCGGTAACCAAACTACATCACCACTAACGCTCGGTTTGAATGCCGATGTTGCGGTTTCCGTCCATTCAGCGATTCTGATTTCAAGTGTGCTGTTCTTGACGGTTAGTAGTCTGTTTTCATATGAATTTGTGGTATGCATAATTAAACCACCGCAAATGCATACAAAATTGACTACTTACCGCGAAATAACACACTTTTAACAGGAAAATCAATTGAAATATTGTCCAATCAGAATCAGCAACATGCAAATCTGCCAGTAAACTAGAAGTCATCATGCATTTGCGGTATGCATAATTAAACAGTCTCAAATGCATAATAACATTAAATTTACTGGCCTACTGGCCTAATTTACATTCCACTGATTCTGATTGGACGATACTAGAATTGACTTTCGAGTATTACCCTCCATTTGTGGTAAAGGAGTAAAATGCATTTATGTATCTTTATGTTTCATTCATTTTACAGAGTTTAGGGGTATTTCTATACAAGGCAATACGGTTAGTATGAAGCAAAATCAGTGGAAAAAAGCCAAAACACATATCAATCT